TATGGCGTTAACGTCATTCTAACGAGAGTAACGCTGCAGCACTAAAATAGTAATCTCCAAATGTTTTCTTTTTACCGACCAGCTCCTCTGTGATAGCTGCCGTCCTGTCGTTGCCTGCAGGTGAAGCGATGGCGGAGGCGGAGTTGTGTTCAGTGAAGGAGAGGCGAGGCAGAGTAACGCAGCGTAGAGATAAAAGTGGACGAAAGAGAGGCAAACTTGAAGCTCCACAAGTATAATTATAACGTAACATAGACTATATCGATATAAACGATAGTGTCACATCTAACATCTCGTGTCGATATATTTAAACACTCGATATATCGCCCAGTCCTAGTCTGAACCCAGAAATTACATTGATGTTGGCAATCAAATTACTGAAACACTTTAAGCACGATTGCTCAGTTGTTATCACTTTGAGGCACCTGCTGTTGTTGTGTTTTGTCATTGTATGAATAAAATTGAAATTGAATTGAATTTTGCTTCATGCAAGGATTTCTTTGAGTCCTTGACGAGGCATAGACCTATAACTGGGATTAAACACTGGAGGTTCCCACTGGTCCTAATGTTTAGGATGGGTTGAGAGAATAATCTTCTTATGGGGATCAAAAAGCTGGCGTCTTTCTGGGACCCTTTAAAGTTGTGACATTCAGATGAAGTACTCCAGGGTTTACAACAAGTTTGTATATGTAGTGGGTCATGTACAGGTCCGAGTCCCCTGCACAGGAACCCTGATATCCATCCAGCATTTAGTTTTTGCAGAATAAAAAATGTTAATATTCATAGAATAAAGTGCTTTCTTGAATTATGTGTGAATGGGTAAATGAGGTTTAATACAGTTGTGTTCAGATGCCAGTCTGTCTGCCATTGAGTCTCTAATCCACTCCATTGAAAACCATGACCTTTGACCTTTGCATGAAGGGCACTGCAGGTGACGAGGAAGGTGGACATTCTGACACCACTTGGAGCATTATACTACAACACAGGTCGCTACGAGGAGGCTTTGCAGGTGTACAGAGAAGCTGTGGCCCTGCAGCCGGAGAGCACCGACATCTGGCTGGCTCTCGTGAGTAGACATACGTACTTAGACTAAGAATAGCATTTAGTTTCTTGTGTGTTAGTTGGAAAGGAGACCACGTGCTAACCATAACTTGTTTCACACAAAAACTCTCCCTGTATGTTTCAGGCTCAGGTTTTAGCAATGGCTGGTCGCACCAAAGAGGCAGAGAAGATGATGCTCGATGTCATATCCAGAAAAGGCAACTGCATAGAGTGTTACCGCCTCCTGTCTGCCATCTACAGCAAGCGTGGCAACTACACAGAGGTAGGTATCTGCTCTACATAAGAGCAACTGCCAATGATCTTTCTGAATCTGTTGTGTTAGCACCAGCAGCGTGTACGGCCGTCAGTGTTTCGTTAATATACGACCCAGTTTGACAGCAGAGATGGACTGGTAGTTATACGGCGCCTTTCTACTCCAACTGAGCACTCAAAGCACTTTTTAGTACAAACTGCAATCACTCTCAAAAATATTCATACATCCACTGTATCCACTGACACTGACGCCTCTGTCAGTGCGCCCCAGGGTGGCTGTGGCTACAATGTAGCTTCATCACAAGTGTGTGAATGTGTGTGTGACTGTAGTGTAAAGCGCTTTTAGTCCTTAGGGACTAGAAAAGC